CGTGGAGGCCATTTGAATACAGTGATTGTCATGTTCAAGAAACCAGTCTGAGATGATTCACGCTTTATGACATGGAGTGGTGTTACGAATTCCAACCTTGCTTGGCTCCACACAGCAAGCCAGACCGGTAACAATAAATAACATTAAATTAAAGTAATTAGAACTCCTCTTAATTAATGAGGAGCCCGGAGTCTCATCTCCCGTTTAAAAATAAAAACAACAACAAAGACGAATGACCAAAGAAATAACGTAAAGTCAAATTTATTTGACATTTAAATTTCAAAAAGGAGACAATAAAAAGCTAAATGCCAAAATAACAGTAAATAAATAAAATAAAGTTTTTAACCCTATTACCTGCACATGAAATTAAACAAATAAAATAACATTCACTTACCTCCCTACTAACCACAAAACATGAGGAAAAATTAATACAACAAAAAGGCACCCTCCTCAGCACACGTGTCTCCGTATATCTCAAAGTCAACACTCAGCATTCACTTATAACAATTTAGCCGAGTTAATAATACAACACAGTTTTTACTCCACAAAACAAACAACACAAGCTGGGAGAGAGGAGACTCTTCGAACGACGTTCCAGTCCGGTTTAAATTGTCTCCACAAACAAGCCGGCCTCCACGTGCTGGCTGGCACCTGATTCACTGCACCTGTGCGGCAATGATGAAACCTATTCGGAGACGGAGAGAAGAGAACCACACGCAATACACACAAAAACAATCAAAAACCTCACTACTTAAGATATTTATTTATGTTATTTTTATATTATTATTTATTTATTTAAAGAAAATACATAACAAGTGGTATCATGCTGAAAGCAGCCATGGGTACACTGGTCATGAAGGGTTTAGGGGATGCTCGGTTTGAACTGCAGCTCATCGTCTTGACCATGTCTGCATGCCTACATGCATTTAGTTGCTGCCATTAGATTTGCTGATTATATATTTGCATTACCAGCAGTTAGACTGGTGTACCTAATAAAGTGGCCGATGAGTGTATATGTCAATGCTTAATAAATAAGCTTTCCATTGACCCAAGTTGTTAGAATAGCTCGATATTTGGCTGAGATACAACAATCCGAATATCTGTATTCTCAGGGTTAAAAAAAACGCCTTTAAAGTTGCCCACATTGAGTTCTCAGCAATGCACATTACCAGCAAGAAATTAAGCTTTGAAGTGTTCAACATCAAATGTTCAACATTTCGTAATGGAAGGGGATTATTACTCAATATTTGAATGATTTTTGTGATAAAATAAAAATCCATACACAAATATACCCGTGCAACATTAAAGCATGTTTCATGGCCCAGATATGAAAAGACAGTTCACTGGGTTTACTATCAATGGAGAAAAGTGCAATGCTCAGTATGGCTGCCACAGCTAAGGAAGTCCCGCCTTATAGTCGAAATAGCCAATCGCCAGTCTTTATAACCACTCGCTTCTGTGAGGGAGGGGTCTGTACAGATTCTGTCTTTTGTTACGACAAGCATCTCTGACATTTGGCGATTACTTTGTGCCTGTGTTGGTTTTGACAGGAGAAGTGAAGTTTATTTATTTATTTTTTTTATTTATTATTATTTTTTTATTAGAATATGCAAAAATCATAAAAATACAAGAAAACATCAACAAATAACAAATACAAAGCAACAAAACAAAAACAACAACAATATAGTCAGGTACGGGTATGTGCGTGAGTGTGCGTGTGTGAGTGTGTGTATGCATGTAAAGGTAACTAGGTGGACAGGTTAGAGTACATACATAAGGAACAATAACAGTCAATAAATGAAGCAAGTGTCACAGATATAAATAAAACATATAGAAAGAAACCAGTCAGAGGTAGGGAGTAACAACAATGCTTATTAATGTATGATAGTAAAAATGAGAGTAAAAAGAAAGAAAGCACAACAGTAATAACTGACAATAATAATAATAAATCACAAGTGCTACACCAACTACTACTACAGAAAGTTACTTATATTACAACTACTACTGTACTTGAAGTTTATTTATAAACTAATCCAAAAAACTGATCCAAAAAAACTGGATTAAACTGATCCCATCAGAAGGGTGGATTTAGCGTGGATTTCATGTCCAAAATGTAATGAAAACTTAAAAAATGTATTAAATAATACTATTTTTGGATCATGCAGTATCTTACGAGATATACTATTTATTCATAAGGTTTTAATTTTATTTGTTCATCTGTCAGGCTATAGTGATTATTGGCTTTAATGTATTTAGCTTTTCAGTATAAGCCTACAGCAAAGTAGAAAGAGTTTGGCCTCATAAAATAATCCCCCAAACAGCTGTCAAAACTGACCAAAAACAATCAATTTTATTCTGTCACTAACTGATATATATATTCATCACAATAGAATTTTTTTTTTCTTTTTAGAATATTAATTAGTGATGCATGCAATGATTACAGCATAACAAAAAAATGCAAAGAATGGCGATCACTGATTTTTGAAATCACCTTCAACAATTACAAAAAGAGACTGAAAGAGCAGAAGCACAGCTTCGTCTGGCAGAGAAACAACCGACTCTAACCAAACTGCAGCAAACCAAGGCCAATGACTTGAGATTCGCCTCCTAAAGGCTACGCTCAGACAAGCTGCTCTCTCCACATCAGATGAGGAAGTCTGAAATTATTGTGCAGTTTTTGACATTAAGTCTTTTTTTTATTTACATCTATATTTGAAACTTATTATAAATATCCTCAATGTACAGTGTTATAGATCTCAGATGAGTGGACTGCTAAAAGAGGATGGGGTGGGGTTTTTCTTGTTTTTATCATTTATTATTTATTATTATTTTAATAATTATTAAATTTTTTTAGTTTTCATTTTAAATAAAAATAAAGTTATATTGGCCCCACGCTGGCTATTCTACTTGTCGCTCTTTACATATCTATAGTTCTACATTGTGATGTCAAATGCTGTTTGAGCACTGGTTATCCAGATTTAGTGATCCTGAAAAGTTCCTATCCGGATCAGATTGATCCAATCCGATGTTGCTTTGAAAAACTGGCTCAAAAAGTAAGCTGGATTACGTGATCAGGGATCGCAAAAACAGGATTACTAAATCTGGATCAATTTTATCCGGATTAAACCTGTTGAAAAACCAGGCCCAGGTGACTAAAATATATATATAATAAATATATCCATTTAATAAATCTACTTTGTTTAAACGCACCAAAATAGGGCCTATATTCTCTTAGAAAGTTATAAAAATATTAATTTTCACAATGAGATGTACTTTATGTTGAGCACTGTATGTCATTTTTTCACTCCTATGGGTGAAGCTGTCATGCTTTAGGATGATCTTGCTGGACAGCAGAAGCCCATGTTGCAGTAGTGAGAACTAATTTTAGCAGCACATCAGTGTCTGGTGTCCCTGAGGCGGTCTGACAAATCACACCGAGTGACAGACAGCTGTCAGAGCTGCGGGACAGCACACCTGTTAACACCAAACACCTGGAAAACATCCAGAGAGCCGGTTCTGCCCAAATTAGACATCACCGCTCTGCCAAAAGAGTTTATTTCTGCCCGGAGTCGAGCTCGTCTGATCAGAGCCAACTGAATCACGCTGTGTTTCGCTGTTCGCAGTTAATGCAGCAGAACGTGTTTGCTGGTTCTGTCAGCACACACAGCACAATCCTTCTGTCACAGCGTTTACTGTTATTGATTCAGTTGTCAGCTGTTTGTCGGGATTACTTTTTTCTCAATGTCAGAATGTGTTTTAGGAGAGCAGACGTTTGCTGATGTTTTTATCAAGAGCTTTTGTGTTACGGCTAAAAGGTGTTTATTGAAGCCCTTTATGACAGTCATGTGTGCAAATGTTTTTAAAGTACAGTATCAGTAAAAAAAAAAAAAAAAGGAATATTTTGGGAGTTTGTTGGTATGTTGGACTTCGTTCTGTGATAGATGGATGATTGAGTCTTGAAGAGTTTGAAAAAAAGATGGATGGAGTAATGGATACAAGCAAAAAGTGTACAGATGAGAGAGTCACAGATGGATATTGGATGATAGAGTAAAGAATTGATCAGTAAATTGATAGAGCAATGGATAGAGTGATGGATGGATGGATTGATTAATTGATAGATTGAGTGAAGGTTTTATATAAATAGATGGATGGAGTAATAGATTCAGCAATATGTGTATGAATGAGAGAGTCACAGATGCATATTGGATGATAGAGTAATAAATAAATGGATAGAGGGATGGATGGATGGATGGATGGATGGATGGATGGATGGATGGATGGATGGATGGATGGATGGATTGAGTGAAGGTTTCGAGAAACCGACCGACCGACCGAGATAGATAGATAGATAGATAGATAGATAGATAGATAGATAGATAGATAGATAGATAGATAGATAGATAGATAGATAGATAGATAGATAGATAGATAGATAGATAGATAGATGGATACATGGATTGACGGATG